TCAGCAATAATCGACCGCTTCACGACGCCCAAGCCTTACGTCTGTCTCTTATACACATCTAGATGTGTATAAGAGACAGCACACACACACACACAACAGACGCAAGTGCGTGCATACAAGCAGGCACGCACGCACAAAAAAACCCGCACAGAAAAAACTCGATAAAGGCAAAAGAACATATGCGCGTGCACCCAGGCAGGCTCTCTCCGTCCGTATCGCCCGACTGTTCTTGCTCAGGCACGGCGGCGCACGGCCGGCCCGATCGACACATTAGAGCCGCGGCCTGTTACGCTATTTGCGCGCCTATTGCGGAAAGCTATAGTCATCTGCTCCTACAACTTCGAAGTATCCACGGCGTACACGTTCGTTGCAGGCAAGCACACACAGAGATCGGGTGCGTCCGGATCTTCGCCCAAACGACTGCCAGCACGTAACGTAAATCGGTCGCCCACATGACTGGCGGCACGTAAATCGGTGTCGCCAACGACTTACAGCTCGTTCATAGAACTAGCGCCATCCTTTCGTTGATTTGCTGCCCAGGTTAAACGGCAAGGAGACCCAGAGTGATCAGAACTGAATTCATTGAATCGATTGCACAGTCTCTCTCTAAACTTTTCTTCGCAAGAAGAAGATTAGCGGCAGGCAGATTCACAGAGGGACTCGATCCCGTCACTTTCTTTTCCACACTCTCTCTTTACTCACTTCAATTTATAAAATTTTCACTTTTTTGCCTCCCCCCCCTATCTCTGCTCAGGTTCGCCTTACGAAATGTAATGACAGATTCGCTTTACTGAAATTTATTCCGCAATGGACTTTCTGAAGAAAAAAATCCTGCTAACTTCGCTGCTATTCGTTTTTCTCGATTGAATAAATAATAAAATGCCAACACCACTATGCATGCCAGAAAACAGAAAGATGGCAACCACCTGAGATCTTGAACGCAGAAAAAATAGAACTCCCTCCACGCATCCTTCCGCTGCGACCGGTTGCGACCGGTTCTTCCTCAAAGTGTCCTCCTACTTCTCTTCCCTCCTCTCGTTTCTTTCTCTCCTCTCCTCTCTTCCTTTTACCCCTTCTCCGTCCTCTTTTCTTTCCTCTTTTCTTTCCTCCTTTCCCCTACCCGTTCTCTTGCGATTCAGCGTACTTTCAGCATTTCTCGGTATTTTCTCTTGATTTTCTCCAATCTCGTCCCTATCTCTAGTCTTTCCCCTGCTCTTTACTTCCTCCCTCTCCCCTCGATCCCTAATCGTTCTGGTCATTTCATCTCCCATCTCTTCCTCCCAAGAGTCCCAACAACACTCTCCTCCTGCTCTCCCTTCGGGCCACCCAATCTTCCCTTTCCAGCACAGGTCTCGTCTCTCTTCTCCCCCACCACACACCACCTCCCCTCCCTAGCACCTCCTCAAGACCTGCGATCTCTCTTCTGTGCATCCTTCACCCTTCCTTCCAGCACCTCTCCTCCAGCTCTCCCTTCCCGCCACCCAATCTCCACTTTCCAGCACAGGCCCGGTCTTTCTTCGCCTTTCGCACACAACCCTCCCTCTCTAACACCTTCTCAAACCCTGCGATATCTCTTCTGAGCAATCCTTCACCCTTCCCCGCCCCTCTCCCTCTGACATATCCTCCTCTCACATCGATATCTCTGCCGATATCTATTCCTGCAAAACGCACCTCAGTCAATTCGCAAACCCGTCGGCAAAACGCATATCAGTCAGATTGCAAAACCGTCACCCCATCTCTTCCTTCCTACACCACTCTCCTCCTGCTCTCCCTTCTCGGCACCGAATCTCCTTTTTCTCAGCAGCGGTCTTGGCCCTGCTTCGCTCCCCCTGAAGGTTCCAATCTCTCGTGTCATCAGTTTCCACTCTTCCTATAACCGCTCTCCTTTTCACATAAGCCTGCCGCTTTCGCCACACACATAGCCTCTCACCCCGACATACAGAATCTCCCACCGACAGCGATTCCTGCAAAACGAAATGCGAAATGCATAGCAAGACCCCTCTCCCTGTCCCCTTCTGCTATCACCGCCAATCAGATGCAATATCACCCAATTTCCCTCTCTCTACGCAACCACCTGCAATTTACATGATCAGACTTGGCAGCCACGGCCACCTTCAATCATCATACCTGCATCACAGCATGGCCATCCAAGCTCCCAAACTGAAGATACTCGCGAGATCCCGATACTAGAAGGCGCGTCTCCTACGGGGGTGTTGCATTTGGTCATCAGCCCTTGTTCGCAATTCACATCACCACGAATGGGACGTGCTGCCTCTGGATCAGTCAGACACCAGTCAGTCAATACCAGCCAGACACCCATTACGAGCACCGACCCCAGAAAATTCTCTCTCTCTCTCTCTCTCTCTCTCTCTCTCTCTCTCTC